AACTAATCTGTCAGTGGGTCACATTATATGAGCGACGATCTAGATCATTACACATCAAGTGTCAGCAAGCCAAAGTATGACGAAGGCTGCTATCGTTTTAGAAAGGCTTCTGCAGTGGCTTCATCTTACATAGTTTAGTTGTGTAAAAGTAAATTAGGATATCAGTCGTATGTGGAGATGGTGATGGTTCTGAAACTGTTTGTGGCAAGATGTGCAGAGAAAGGTTCTGGTGTTGTTGCATCTATAAACTCATCACACAAGAGAGGAGTCATTTTTAAAATGTATATAAACGCACAAAGAGTTTAAAGAGAGCTCATTAATGCAAAATGGATTCTCACCTGGAGAGCAGGTGACATAAACCCAAGTTATGAGTCAAAATGATTGAAATGTACGCAATCTCTTGTTCTCCTTTTATATTTCGGTCCCACGTATCGAGGATAGAAGTAAATTAATAGATATGATGCTTTGATGGTTAGATAACTGTTGCATAATCCACACACACACAAAAAAAAATCTAAAATGTTTCACACAGCAGTCGCAGGAGTCCTGAGAAAACAGAGAGATCGCTGCTGCTCCTCACTGAAAACATGAAAATGTTTTGACGTGTATGTAAATTAATCCTGACAGTTGATTCCTTCATAAAAAGAGTTTTTGGAGGGTGGGATTGCAAAGACTGAAACTGAAGCTCCTGTGAAAGTGTCCAATTATTGCAGGACGAACATGAAATAGGTGAACACTTTCTCCCCGGCCTGTTGTCACGCAGCCCTTGTGCCGCCTGAGCAGATCAGCGCCGTCCTAATCCTCGCTTCCTGAGAGGTCGAGACACTCGTGTGTGTCGAGGATTAACATCTCCTAACATATATTCCTCATATTGCAACCCACTGATACTGTAAATCATAATCAGTCCTCGACATTATTCAGTATTCCACACATTCTTATATTCTGATCATGTCACAGTACAGTCCTGTATTGTCATTAATAGTCATGCTGTAGTTCTGAAGCACAGTCATGCAGTGGTAGGAAGAGTTTGCTTGCAAAAACAGATCATTCATAAACCTTCAGACTTTTCCATCGTCTACCTGAGACAATATCAGCAGAAGAATAGAATGCCTTTATTGTCATCAAACACAGAGTACAACGAAATTAAAAGACAACTCCAGTGGTGCAAAATACAAGTATAAAAAAAAGACAAATAACAATATATACAGTAGGAAGTATATACAGTTAGGAATGAGCAGCCAAATGGTGGAATAAACATATTGCACTGTAGAGGTAAGAACACTGTGGATATATGAGAAATATAAATAAATAATTGCAAATAACATGGATTATTTTTCTCATGTCATTTCTACTGAGTCAAATCCGCTCAGCTTCAGTTTGATTGATATTCTCTCAAGCAAACAATAAAAAAACACAAGTTTTCTGAAAATCTACAAAAATGGAGTTATCTGTTTTTACAAAAGAACTCTTCATATATTTCCTACACAGGTCTCGTGGTATCACGGGTCTGTTAACAACATTTAGACTCAGATTCTTTAATATTGCACAGAAACAGTCTTTTAAACCTTCATCTTGTCATCATTTACTATCCATGTAGCTGCCATGTGACCCTGACAGAGGTGTAAATAATATCTGTTTTACACTCCTTATCATATTTTAATATCTGGACGTGCTATCTAGACACTTGTCACTTGCATTTAGCCTAAAACTGAAGCAGCCTTGCACACCAGCCCTGCATTAAACCCTCCCTTTTATTACGTTTAGAGTCCAGCTGATGATTGAATATCATATCAGAAAGGTGCTGATTCGACTTCTTTGACACTGCATCAGACTGAGAAGTTCCTGTTTGCCTGTATGTCACCGTTTACAGACTAGATATTGAACCACACTTCACACTGCCTCCTGTACTTCTGTGCAATGTGACAGTTCAGCCAACAGATGTCAGTGGACCGAGGCAGCAGCATTCCCTCTATTGTGCTGCTATTAGCCCATCAGCACCCGCCTCGGCCTGTTTGTTACCCAACTGTTACGTAAAACCATGTCTATGTAAGTTTTTCCCTCCATGTTTAATAACTTCACTCAGGAAATTAAAGATATGCATTAAAATATGGCCTAATATGATGAAATAAATGAGGAAAAAGTGGCAAACAGACACATATTCGTGTCGCTGAGCATCACTGCACAGACAGGAAACAGGAACTAACATCCTCACAGCCATCATCTTCACGCTCAGCGGGGATGTGCTGCAACAGCAGAACAGACTCCTGCGTGGGAACTTCCTGAGCTCCATGTGATCTGGGGGGTCAAAGCAAAGTTGACACTGATTGGACGTCTGAGTCTGCAGCTGAAGCGCCCTCTGGTGGTCGTTAAAAACCGCTCAGGACAGTTCACTCAGCAAATGGATCATAGTGGAAGCAGTTCTGTTCTGCACATAGCTGTATGTGTTGTATATGAGGGTTTGTTTTATACCTATTACCTGGTATTTAGGTGATTTACAACTTATTCATCAACCACGTGTATTTTTTTTGTTTGTTTGTTTTGCTTTAAACCTAACATGAGCTCCTGGAATATGTGTCACTTTGAGTTTCAGTGTTCATATTTTAGTAGAAATCAGTTTAAAAACAAAAACAAAAACAAAACAACCTATAAACAAAAACAATAATGACAAAGGCAATAAATTATTAAAACAGGGGAGCAACAGCTGAAATACAGAGCATCAGAAACAATACATAAAATAAAATACAATAAATAAAATAAAATAAAGCAGCTACAGACCAACCTAAAGCCAAAAACGTTTTCCTCATAAAGGTTTCACAGGAGACGACTGATCTAAATCCAGATCTATTGAACACATCACATTTGTTGATCAGTGTCCAGTCCTCCAGTCACATATTTGTACAAGTCTAGCGTTAATTCTTGGCTGTTTGCTGCAGTTAACACACACACAGTACTTATAATAACCTAATTTCAGAATTAGAAGCTTTTTATTGCCAAGTGAGCTTGCACATACGAGGACTTTGGTGAATGAGACCGGTACCCAACAATAACAAGACAGGAGTAAATCTAGAAATCTAGATGTGAAAAATTCTAAATAAACCACGTAAAAGAAAAGTTTACAAGTACTACGTAAATATAAAGAACTGTGAAAAGAGACATAAACCGAGTAATAAATTAGGAAACAGTTTGAATTACAATATTGCACATGGAGTTGAGGAACTGCACGTGTGATGGTGATGCACAGAGGTAGTGCAACAGGTTAGTGGTTTACTGACTGGTCATGAGGGAAGAAGCTGCTCCAGTGCCGGGATGTTCTGGTGCTGAGAGACCTGAAGCGCCGGCTGGAGGGCAGCAGGTCAAAGAGGTGATGACCTGGGTGAAAGGGGTCCTTGAGGATTTTTCCTGCCCCTTTTCCTCACTCTGGAGAAGTCCAGGTCCTGGAGGGAGGGCAGGGGGGTGCTGACGATTCTCTCAGCAGTCCTGACTGTCCGTTGCAGTCTCCTTATGTCTGATTTGGTAGCAGAACCGAACCAGACAGTCAAAGATGAGCACAGGACAGACTGCTGAGTAGAACTGTTTCAGCAGCTCCTGTGGCAGGTTCCTCAACTGGCGGAGTCAGAGTCGATGTGGGTCACTTTACTTACTTCACTTTACATTTCTTTGCTTCCAAGACTAAACAAGGAGGTTCAATGGACCTCAAGATCTCCCAAAACAGCATCGTACCCACAAAATTCAGATTATAAACAAACAGGATGAAAAGGGGACACGTTACTTGGGAGCATGAATATAATTTCGCAACTGAGGAGCAAAAATCTGTAAACCCATCCATCCATCATCTATACACCGCTTCATCCTCACTAGGGTCATGGGGGGCTGGAGTCTATCCCAGCTGACTCAGGGTGAAGGCAGGTTCACCTGGACAGGTAACCAGTCTATCACAGGGCTACACTTAGAGACAGACAACCAAGCACACTCACATTCACACCTACGGACAATTTAGAATCACCAATTAACCTCAACATGTTTCTGGACTGTGGGAGGAAGCCGGAGAACCCGGAGAGAACCCACGCTGCACGGGGAGAACATGGAGACTCCACGTAGAAAGATCCCGGGTGTCCTCACCGGGACTCGAACCGCCGACCTTCTAGCTGCAAAGCAACGATGCTAACCACCGAGCCACCTTGCAGCACCCTTTTCAATTCAGATGTATTTATATAGCTCCAAATCCCATATTTACCCTCATGCTAACTTCCAAAACATCTCACAGGCCAGGCTCTAATAGCTGATTTTTTGAAATAGACACGACAGGAACACTTAAGAACTACATTTACAAAAGGAGACTCCTGCAGATGATGCTACGACTCAGTTGCTCTTATTCTAACCTTCACAGAACACACTAGACAACCCAACAGCTGTATTCCAGGAAACTGGTTGGAGAGTCGTCAGTCTGGTTGAGTCAATCCATCACCGCTGCTGCCGTAACCACATGAGGTGTCACACGACTAAAGACAGAGACGTTCACACCAGAGACTTTAACTTCTGACAGATTTATTGTTCTGCTGCCAATAATTAGAACCAACCTGACATCCAAGAACTGTCTCCAGCTGAGGAGCAAAGAGGTAGAACAACGTCTGAGATGCCTGCAAAGACGAGTTTCTCCCAGTATTATGCAGCATTTTATTGTAAAGGGAAAAAAGAAATGTGAACAGTGAATAACAGGCAGAGAAACGAGTGCTGGTGCAACAGAGAACATCACTGTTGTCAAAACAAACGCACCGATACAGTAACGTACAAACGCATCAACTCGTGAATATCAGCTAAGAAATGTCAACTTTCATCTTTCAACATGTCGAGAGAGAAATCTGTTTCCATCTGTGTTTTCAGCCAACGATGAACTAAGCTGCTAAAACACGTAACACAAATAATCGTTGAGGTAAAACTCAGGCCTTTGATAGGCTCTTTGCCATCCCCTTACTGTGCAATGAGCCCCTTTTAGAGTCCGCTTTTGGTTCAGAGCATTTATTTTTCTTGACCCTGCCGGATCAGAACTTGCCCTTCTTCTTTTTCCACGGCTTCCTCTTAAAGTTGGCGTCGGCGATCAGCTTGGACTGACGTTTCAGAGCCTCACGTGAGATGATGTTAGCCTCGCTCTCTCCGCTCGCGTCCTCTGCGACGCCAAGAGTGAAAGAAAGTCAGATTCACATCGTTTACGTGTGTTACTGTGAATAACTGCAAACTCACCATCAGTGAAGAGGTCCGCCGCTTCATCCTCCGGCAGTCGCACTCGGGTGTTGTACTCCGGCAGCTTGTCTTCGATCCTGACATGGAACTGCTCGGTGGAACAAAGAAGAAAAACGGTGAATGACTCCCACCAGAACAACAGGTGTTTTCTGCTTTAGTCAAAGCACTTTCCATGATGTCTGACTTTATGTTGGTCTGTTTGTGATGTTTGGGTCTTCATGTTAGTTTTGTTGTTTGGCTTTTAATTTTCTTATTCGCAAGGAAATTAAATTAGTTTTAGGCGACTTCAGAAATGACATCGAGTGAATGACCCTGCAAGTATCTGTAGATATTCATTTTATCTATTCTATATGACCCTAAATAGTCATTTGCATGAGCCAAGAGCAAACACTGAGTACTAGACTGATGTTCTAGTCATGTAACAGCTCAGATGACAACAGTATTTTCAAACGATCAGCTCAGAGTTACGTTAGCAAGAAAGATCTTCCAGAAATGGAGCTGAGAGTAAAACCAATGTCATCAGTGAACGTCAGGTGGAGTGTTGCATGCTTTCTGTGGTGCACATCCCATTTTCTCAAACAGAGAGGGGGCTGTGGAGCGTTAGCAACGAAGAACAAACACTTCAGGTGGCTGTCATGGCCGCCTTTCCATTCAGATAAGCTGAACGAGCACGGCAGCGTTCGTGTGTTCTCGCTCGGCCACGGGTTGTGTAACGTAGGTTTACAAGAGAGTTCAAGCTGACACTTGACTCCTCACAGGGCCGTTTCACCTTTCCTGCCATCGGTTAGCGGTGCTGGTCAGGTGACCTTCAACAGGCATCTCATCAAAGACAACTATTTTCTCTGTGAATTGTGGATGCCACATACAGTGTTATTCATCTGATTGTCTGCTGTGCCCTTTCCACACCTATAATTGTACGAAAACCTGCGCAAGTCTGAGAATTACCTCTGCCAGTGCAAATGTTTTGCATATTCTATCGAGACCCAGAACCTGTATTTCAAGCTTCCGTGATGCCTGCTGAGAACTTGTAAAGTTTTGTCTCACCTCCTCTTCCTCCATCTCCTTCTTAATAGCTGCCAGATCCTTTCCTTGAAGCTCCTGTTGCAGTACCTGCAATTTCAGCTCCAACTGGGTCATCAGCTCCACCACATACACATCAGAGTCTGGATGCACTCCAGCAACTGTGTCTTCACTCTGCAAGAGGAACAGAAGACATTTTTAGGGAAAGAAGAGTGCAAAAGACAACTGATCAGTTTTGGGAATATGAAAGACTTGAGCTGTGGTCATAAATGGGACACGTTGTAGCTGTGATGTTTTGTTTTTTTTACCACTGTGATGTGTTGCAGTTTGTCTATCAGGTGCTCGACTGCGGGTCGGGCGGTGCTGAAAGCTTTCACGAGCCCGTGCAGGCGCTCTTTGCCTGCATTACACCTCTGCTGCTCAGCCTGTAGCTGCTGCTCACACTCTTCCAACGTCTGCTGATCACTAATAAAACCACACAGAAAGAGGAGAGGCTTGAGAATCGGTATTGCACAGCTGCACTCACAAATGGCACCGTGACCGTCTGAGAACCATTCAGGCCGACAGAAGGTGGCTCAACCAGTGCCGGCCCGACCTCCTCTCAGCTAGAACTGGATGGGGGTGGATGCTGCCCAACTTTGTGACTTTGGTGCAGCAGCAATAGAAGTAAATTCTTTGATATCAGAAGCAGCAGTGGAACGAGAAGAGAGAAACAGAAAGTGCTCACACATTCAAGAAAGTGGGAGCCCGCATATGGACAGAGAAGTCAAACTGAACTAATTCTAAGGCTTATCACTGACGTGTACTTAACTACATTACAGACTGGAGAATCTGTTAAATCTGTTAAATGAGTGGGTTGCATTTGGGTCTCACCTGGAGAATTTAACCCCCCCTGAATATTTTATATTTTCAAAGTCTTGGTTCAAAAGCTCCTTCTGCTGCTTCAGCTGCACCAGGACCTCCTCGTTCTCCTTCTTCAGCTTCTCCAGATGCTGACGTGTCTCCCCCTGAGAAGTAATGGGATCCACTATCTCCTATGACCACGACAGACCAAAAAAGTCAATCAGCAACCACATGAAAAGCTCATCTCGGATCGCACAGAGCAGATTTATTACATCCTTTTTTTCCGCACCCATACCTGTGAATCTGTGACCTCGGCGGCCTCCTTGTTGCGTCTGAAGGCCTCCTCAAAGGTGGACATGACTTTCTCCTCCTCGCCTGCCATCCTGGTGGTGCTGTGTGGCGCTTCGCTGCTCAGTTCATCCGGCTGGATAATTGTTCTCTGGACCTGTGCGTAGCAACGGCTCCAAATGTAAATCAGTGTTTCTCGTTCTACAGAGCGGCTTTGTTTTGAATCACATCATATTTTTTGCCAAAGATCCGACAGTACTGAGGGTGTTTTTGGCCCTTCTGTGGTTACTGTACTTTAAGTCATTAAGATTTTCATGGCCGGTGAGCGTGCTGAAGCTGGATTTATGGTCTGTCCAAACTGATGTCTTCCTACATCTTTCAGATGAAGCTTGTCCACGTGCACCATCACCCGTAATTTTCCAAATCTACTTCATGTGTTTTTTTAATTTGTCACTCAACTGTTTATGAAACTGAAAATATGATCCATTATCCCCGTCCCTCTCCCTCTCCTTCTCTCTGTAACAGCTGACATTGTACTTCAAATGTGCCTGTTCAGAATGAATATACAAGGTACATTTGATTTTAGAGATGGCCGACAGCATGTTTGAAAAAAACTAAAATTCATCTCACCCGTCTGTCGGCTTTTTCAGCCTGGGCTTTGAGCTCCTCAGCCTTTTTCGTGTAACTTGTTTTGAGACGCTCTCTCTCCTTACGTTCCTTGAAGAGCGATTCCTCCAGCTGCTGTAACCCGGCCTGCAACAAAGAAAAACGAGTAGGAGTGATGGAAGAGCAGAGAAGGAAACGAGGGAAGAAAACAGTGAGACAAACAGAATGCTGGTATGACAGCACTGTTGTATTGCTTATAAATTTAGAAGAGAAGGATTTTTATGAACATCAGAGGCAGGTGTGGACAGACATGGCACCCTCATTCACAATGATCTTGTTAAAAAAGGACAGAAAACAAGATTGTTTTGGGAAAACATACTGTTTTCACAATGCGTCATGAAGAAGTCAGGTTGCTGAACACTTGCAGCTGCTATACATGTGACCCAGATCATTTCTAAGAGCAGTAATGACAGCAACGCTGACTCGATGATCCTTCTTACAAACTAGAAACATGCATGTTGTAAACTCATAGCAGAGAAGGTTGCCCATCACCTCAGTGGCTTTTCTGGAGAGCTGGGCGTCATTATTGATGACCTGCAACTTCTGATGCTCCTCTCTGTGCTTCAGGATTTCTGCTTCCAGGCTGTCCAACTGGCCCTCAAAAGTCAGACTTTCGTCCTGAAGTGATGAAGGTGGAAAAGCGAGAGAACAGGAGGCATGGATCGATGAAGTGAAAAAGGAGGCAAATGTGAATTACTTGACTGAGATCTTGAAATTAAAGCTGAAGCTACATATGATACACACACACAGCGGCTGCTTCATCAGGTAAACAGGTCAAACTTTAGGAAATTTTAAATGTAATGCAGTCTAGTATACCACAACAATTCACTGTGATCTAATTAGAAAGTACAGAAAGCAGCATTATCTTTATTTGACGTCAACAAAAACTGAAAGTGTAGATGCTTCGTAGAAGTACAAGTTATGACATAGATTGGATTGCATTACATTTTGCAGCTGTACCTAATAAAGTGATCTGTTGGTATATATGCAACAACACAACAGCCACATTTCTAAACGAGAATCTTCAATGGGATACTTTGTACAACTGTTAGCAAATCAGAACCAGTGTCTGTTACTAGAATTTGAATGTTTTTAGGTCCCATGTGAACGTGCTAGTTTTCATTGTTAGCAGTAAAATCTGTGCTTCCTGCCCTGGATTCAAAATGCCGACCTACGACACGAGTCTGTTTGACTGTAAACTGCTGCCACCGGCTGCAAAACAATGGCAACCAAGCTGAGAAGAAAAAAAAAGGTCTTCTGACGTATTTCTGACAAAGTGGCTGCTCAGGGAGTGTTGGCAGTATTTATTATTTACTGCACTTGTTACTATGGTGACCGTGAGTGTCCTCATATCAACCAGGGTACAATAAATGAATACAACAGGCGATAACTTGAAGTGATTTGAGGGTGACTGCAGACTGGATGTCCGAGACAGGTCAGGGAAGTACTGTACCGCTGTGGACGTCTCTCTTGACGTTTACAGACCACAAACACAGAGTCCCGTATCAAAGGCACAACAATGTGTCATAGCACAGGCCTTTACATGGCGGTGCGCTACAAAGAGTATCTGACAGTCTGATCAAACACAAGTGCTTTCACTCTAATGCACGCCTCTGCTGAGGGCTGCTTTGCAGGTACTAAATCATACCTGCAGGCTGCAGTGAACAAAGCAAATCCGGTAAAGTGCCCAGCGCATGAAGATGAGTTTCATTGGAATAAAGCATTATTTTAAGGCTAAAAAGCTAAAAATGTGCATGCTGGACTTACCTGCAAGCGACTTTTGGCGTTTAAATAGTGACTCATAATGTTCTTAGCCTCTTTGCCGTTCAGCTGGGTTTTCTCCAGCCTGTTGTCCAGCACCAACAGATCCTGAAGACACACACAAATGGACACAAATCATCCCTTACAGTTTTTTGTTTTTTTTTTAACCTCTGTGTGTTCTTGTCTTTCAGTGCACTGTAAATAACATTACCTCCAATGACCAAAGAAACACAAAGATACTCATATTTGTCAGAGTCAGAGAGGTAACTACCATGGCATCTTCTTCTTCCTTGAGATTGCGAATGTCAGCAGATGCTGTCCCACCACTGCCCTCGGATTTCAGTCTCCTGTACTTCATATTCAGCTCTTCAAGGCGGCGCTGGTTGGTCTGGGTGGTGGCCTTCAGGGCGTTTAGACGCTTCCTCTTGGACATCACCCTGTGGTCCAGCGTTGTGGCAGCCTCCTGAGAAAAACACAGTGTTTTTGAGCAAATAGAGTTGGAAAGAACTGTATACATACCGCTAGTAATCTAAATAGTTAGAACAGGCTGCTAACTAATATCTGTGAACACTTTTCATGATAAATATTTGTCTTTTTTTTTTTTTATAGCAAAACTAGCTGAGGTGTGCACATTGATTTCCTCTCACCTGTGTTGACAGGTTGCGGTAGGCATTCTTCTCCACGCCTCTGTTGTGAAAGGCCACTTTAATGATTTGTTCATCACCCTAAAGGGAAAGAGACAAACAAGAACAAAACTACAGCAGACCCAAAACCCAAACTCCAACCCTAATTACATGCCTATTATTATTTTAATTCCAAAAACCGTTCAGATAAAGACTCAATTACCCTGCTGTATTTATGTCTACTTCTGTATCAACAGAATATACACTTATTTTCCTTCATCAACTTGTTGCACTTGTAAAAAATTAATGTGTAAGTGTTTTGTGCATGTGTACACCAATAAAGTTGATTCTGAAGAAATTAAGTTGTTTCTATGATTGAGATTCAGATTCAGAATCAGAATCAGATTTATTGCCAGGTGTAGTTTACACAACACGAGGAATTTGTTCTTCTGGGTTGGTGCAACAACACAACAACAAATATAGAGTAAAATGAAAGTAACTAATAATAAAAAATAACTGTAATAGTGCAAAGCAGAAGCAAAACATGTTGTGGAGTGAAGAATTAAAGTTAAATTTAAATAAGAACCATACTAGGGAATAGTAAGTGCCAAATTACAAAATAAGTCAATAAAAAAAAAATTAAAAATAAATGGGGGGATAAAAAGAAGAATAAATAAAATACAAAATAAGTAATGTGGCAATATAAAGCAATATGAATCAAAAATGAATCCGTAAAAGAAAAGGCTAATAAAAGTAGAAACAAAGACAAATAATATAAATAATATTTATTTAAATTTATTTACTTTTTATCATTTTATTATTATTATTATTTTTACTTTTAATTTTTTTTTATTTAAATTTTTTTTAATTAAAAAAAATTTGGTTACTGTCACTACTCCATACCATACAATTATTATTAATAATAATTACTATTATTGCTAATATAATTAATTATTATTAATGACAACAACAAAAAGCAGAGAGAAGGGAAATGAACCTCATGTTAAAGAAGAGTCCGCTCTACTTACAGCATTAGCTTCAGCCAGCCTCCTGCGCAGCTCCTTGTTCTGCTGCCTCAGCTGGAGGATGGACTGTTTGTTCTTCTTGATGCTGGACTGGGTGCTCTCGTAGTATGTAGCTCTGTCGCTCTCTAGAGGACATATTTAATCATCACATCAAGAGTATGTAGAAATGGTCGAAAATGACAGCCTATATTTAGCTGCCTTTTCTGTTCGTTACGTCCATTAAAAATCAGTTCATCGCTCATCATGGCAGCTAACGGTTAGCTAGTTCGTTCTGGCTACCTGCTAGCTCGCTAGCTTCCTTTAGCATGAACCGAACACAAACTTACCCAGTAGTTGGATTTTACGCTTCAGCTCCGTTGTTTGCTCTTGTAGCGGAGGTTTAATCGACTCAGCACTGAATGCCATTTTTTGTTGTGCTAGTTTTTTATATATACAACACGTCTACAGTTGGTTTTAACTTTAGCTTTGACCAAGCCACGACCTCCGGCGGAGAACAGCGTTGCCTAGCAACGTGTCATCAAATCAGAAGACACGTTTCCACAGCGCAGCTGCGAGCTTCATCAGTTCTGTAGAAAAATGTCACATGAAGCTAAATTAAAGCTGTAAGTTAGCAACAAGGCTACCAATGTTAAAAAACTAATATGTTACAAGTACTGTGCTAACTAAAATAAAAAATATAACACAAACATACAGGTTGTAAAGTCTGAAGGCTGCCAGACGCAGGTCTGGTCCTTCTATATATATTTACCACATCATATTTTCATATCACTACACATAAAACATTTCTTTTTAAGTTTATAAATTGTAGATGCACAATTCCTATAGATTTTTTAAAAATATATCTAATGCTTGTATATTTCATATCTTACTTCCCTGGCCCTTTTCAAAATACTCATCATCAGAGTTTTGCCGATTAATTAATATTTAATTTTAATGTTAGTATTTATATTCTTAATTTCTCATAAAACAGTAAATGCTGTTAAGTGTCACAGTCGCTTTCCTACATTCATTTTGTACAATTTGATTTGGTAAAAACACAAATATTCTCCAAGGCCAGCTTTTTAAGCTAACTTATTTAACATACATTTTTATTAACTTATTCTCATCAACTTTAAAGACAGTCTTTGAGAGTCCAGAACTTCAGAGGGCTGCATAAATAATGTTCTGCAAGTAAGTTCACTCATTATGTTGCTTACATACAGCATAAACCTACGGCCTAAACCTAAAGATAAATTCATCAGCACAGCTGGTAGCTACATTCATGCTCCATAGAAAGAAAAATGCACAATGCAAATTTAAAATAAAATTCCACCATTACAGACATATTCATTTGGAAAACATTTGTTTTTACTGATGCACATTATGTTTAATGCTTTGCTGCATGTTTTTGTTCTTGAAACTCCTCTCTGTTGTAAAGTTAAACAAAAGACAAAGTATTGTAAAGCAGTAAAATGTGCTGCCTGTGATTCATATCTTTGTTGTTGTGAGCATTAAGGGACCAAAAAAGAAGCTGTTTTATTCATTATATATATATTTTTCAATTAACGAGTCGATTAATCGGTTATCAAAATTTTTGTTTTGTTTTGTTTTGTTTTTTTATGCCAAATATCAGAATCGGCATCAGCCTCAAAAAATCCATATCGGTCGGGCCCTAGTCTGAACGTTGCCAATCTGTGGGATTGTTCAGTCAGATAATACTCTGTTATCCTTATCTGTGAATCAAAGGCTGTCGATATGTTAAGGCTGTTTTTCATGGGTTCTGTTAATTTTTCCTAAAAACCTGTCAGATAGCAGGTTTTGGATTGTTAAGGATCGGATTATCGAGTCACGAATGTACTTATAAACAAAATGAACAGTACAGACAGAGTTCTATGAGCACACTGATATATAGATATACAGACATGGATACGATATAAAATAGATCATATAAATCTACAGGTACAGATAAATAGTGATATGAACAGTGTAAAAAGCATGAATGCTATAAGACAGATGCAGTATATAACTACTGATTGCTGATGTTGTGAGCAGGATGTTGTGAATACAGAACTGTAGCGCCGCCTGGAAGCCAAAACTGGGAATAGATGATGATCAGGAGAAAAGGTTAAGCTTTCACAGTATGTGTTTCTGCTAATACTTACAAATAAATTTCTCCATTTTGTGCACTGTTTTTTTTTTTTTTTTATACTGATGTAAACCCTTTTAAATTAAAGCGAAGACTTTGCACTTTGCCAGCCTGCCGCTGGAAGCAACACCAGGTTCAGTTTCTTTGGTGTTAACGTGTTACTTATCAGCACAAGTCCAGCTGCTACAGTCACCAAAGCTTTTATTTAAGGTCTTTTGACAATATAAAATCTAAATTATGGTGCTTTATGGTCTTTTTTCATGATAACACGACAAATGTGAGGACTGTTTTGAGCCTGCAAGTGTCCGGAAATCATCTTGAAACAATACCAGTCCCACCAGAAATGAGCTGCCCTTTAAAAATGGTGGTTCTGCATGATGAGTGTTTAATTCTGCAGTTACCAGGGAGCTTAACTGAAAGAACACCGAGTGATCCTTAAGCAAAAAAGTAGTGTTTGAATTGTACTTACTATGAAACGATAAACTACAAAATTCTAGCTTAATTTAATTAATCACAGTTTTTTTTTATAGTTGCTTCGGTACATTTCTGTGATCAGAATTTAAATTCTCTTAATTGCTGGTTCAACCTCCACAACATTTAGTCATGTGTGCACATCATCGTAGCAGCTTCTCATTCCTTCCAACAAATTGCAAATGCTTTTGGCGAGTGACACACTTTTGCAGGTTAGCAACTAGGTTTTGCAGTTTGTACTAATTGTTTAAAGAAATGCAATAACTGTTAACAGTGATGTGAGAAATGCACCAAAGCGACTGAGGAAAGCTGTAATACTTTGTGCTTACAGTGACAACAGGGCCCGTACTATGTTTTTTGACGCAGCCTAAATAACCTGTACTTAAAGTGTAAAACAGTCGAGCACTGAAGCTTTATTTTACTCTGCAATTATTCTGTAATGAAGGCTGGGAGCTCTCAGTGTGTTGGATTACAACCTGTAGAGCCAGTTCCCTCAGTTTCAGGTATTACAGGCGTGCAGGTGTGCTCTACTTGTGAAGCCTACTAAACAGCTGCAAAGCACACCTCCAAATTCTTACCTGCATTGCCTGTTACCTGTTTTATATGCCTGTTTTTCACGTGTGTTCTTTGCAGCATTGACAAAACACAAAGAAACCAAAACCTTTCTTTTGTTCCTCAGCATCTCAGGTGCTGGACACAATGAAGAGTGCAACCCTCCCAACAACAAAAAACAATATTTGTCTTTTGATTTTTAATAAAGTATAAAAACAGATAATAAAGTAGAGAATTTTCAGCTGAAAGGACAGGATTCCTTCACCAGGATCATGTTTGGAGGTCTGACCAAGAATCAAACAAGACGGTAGAAGTTATCGCAGCGTTTGTCCTTCAAACATCAAAGTCTCAGATTGAAGTTAACCGACACTCGTCAGCCGAGGAATGTAGAAAATGTAGAGTGCAGCTTTGCCTTTCTCTGCATTACGGTTGATTTATGATCAGTTCCGGTGTCTTTTTAGGAGCTTTATGAAGTTGGGGGGCTCTTTTCAGTCGTGAGTCGTGTCTGCAGGTCTTCTTCACAAGGTGCTCAGTGATCCAGGAACCTCCACGGAGAAGACAGGACAACATGAAGGTCGCCTGAGATGCTAAATAGTCCGAGTAGAGCAGTTTTACGTGATGGATGAACTCAGAGATGCCCTGACAAAGTTAAGTAGCGTTAGCAAGGGAATGTTAAGCTCACTCCCAGTGGAAACACAAATGAAGTAGAATTCCTCCTCGTCGTTGCTGTTTAAATAATAGATGGTGTCTGAGTTTTGCCGTCTGTGCTAGTGGGACTTTTTGTTGTTCGCAGCGTGTGAAGCTCTGTGAAAGTCTGAAATGCTTCATGGTTTTTCTTTGTTGCAGTAGGTAAGTCCTTCGATGGGGTGCACAGACGTTTCAGCCTCTGTGATACAAGAGAAGGACAGTTTGTTATCAGTAAATGGGGTAAACTATGCAGAAACAAATCAACACCCAGATTTTACTTCATATAAATGGAGAGCAGACGGCATTCTTTCCTTTTCATTGCTGCTAACTTCTTTCAGTTTTCATCTCTCACAAGGACAAATAGCAGCATCTGTTGTTTCAGTAAATAGTCAAAAACAACATTGTTAAAGTTGCAGTGGGCAGAAATCTGGACAAGAAGAATACAGTCCTCCTCCTGCAGCTCTGTTCTAAGCCCGTCCTGCCACACAAGGACCCAGCATGCACTGATAATCAAGTTACAAGTCAACATTCATTTGTGGCTTCACCAAAGAACATCCATCCGTCTAATCCACTGGTCCACCACGTCCTGTTCTCAGCTTCTATTTATACTGTTTCACCTGTTCAGTGCCAGGAAGAGGTGCAGAGTTTGCTCTACTTGAATATGCTGGAATTTTGGAAGTCATATTTGCTGAATGATGCCCAGAAAACCCCCAAAATACTTCCAATCCCCAGCTTTACCAACTCCATTGAGGACTTTGTTGTTCAGATAAATGCTGTTCATTTCTGTCTCGCTGTATTTATTTATTCTTTGTCATCACCACATTGCTGCCTGACCCAGATCAAGCAGTAATTTCAACCGAGCCGTTCTTCAATCACAACCGAGTCATTTTAATTCTAACCACAGCATAAATAAATGTAATCCTTTTGTTCTTTTACAGATATTTTCACACCACAACTTTGACAATTTATTGAACCAAATACACAAACTCAGACAAAACAGGTAACAAGTGACAGACAAAACATTGGATAGAACCTAAAGGGAACGTCTCAGAAAAAAACATGCGAAAGTCCCTCGTCATTCTGAGAATTTATCTTTTGCGTAATTCTGATCCAAAAAAGTGAGATTCATCATAGCTAAAGAGGTTTAAAATGTGTTCAATTATTACTATTGCAGGTGCTTTAGTGACAATACAGAGTGCAATACTGTGGATAGCTACTAAACTGTGTATTTTGCTATTTAATGTATTAATTAGTTCTTGCTGCTTTCCTTGAACCTCTGAATATGAGCAGCTTCCACACATTGTCCGCCACATTGTCTCCTCACTGGTGACAGAGCTTTGACTTATCTGTCTCGCTGCATCAAAAACATGTTCTAACTATCTGCTAACAACATGTAAAGAATGAAAAAAACAACTTTTACACAAGACACATGCTGACAGGGTTGTCTGGGGTAACAGGCAGCCTGACGGTCGGTGAATGTGAACCTTTAACCATCACACACTACCAAAAACATCAAATCCAGGCAGCGCTCAGTGTCGACACTGACCTTCTAAAGCAGCCGCGTAAAACAGTGTCTTTCTCAGTTTGAAATTCTGTGTTTTTATTTCGTTTACAAAGTTATGAAGGCCACAGAAGTTCCTGGCCGGAGATGACCCAACGTTCCTTCAAATTTTTATTTCTTCAAACTCGCTGACCTATTTGTGCGATCGTACCTGTTTCAGTGTTCCTGGAGTGACGCACACAGCGTAAACCATCCACACAGGAACCAGGAGGGTTGAGGACAGAGTGAAGAATCCTCCCAGAGCGTAGCCCCACCAGGGGTACTCGTAGGTGTTGTTGAATTTGAGCGGCGTGTATTTGATCAAGGAGAAGAGAAAGGTGCACTGACAATACACAAGCAGAGATCTTAGCAATAATCACAGTCTTTAGACGTGTATTACACACAGAAAGGCACATTCACAGCTAATCATTGTGTATTTTATGTAGTTTAAAAGAGCATAAACTAGAAAGTGAGTCTCTGACAGTGCACACAGCAACTTCATAATTGACTGTGTTTCATTGTTGTTCCTACCAACACTGATTCTCCTTCCTCTTGCATGTTAAAAATCGTCCATGTGCAGGTTTCTCTCTGTTGCATATTAACCCATTTTAACTAGCTCTAGTTGATAAACCATAATAATCAGCTCAAGGTATTCTACTAGCTCCTGCTATCTTTGTTTTCTGTCAATGAAATGCTTGACAACAGCTGTGCATCTTGGTCTTCTCTTATCTAAAAGTAAATGTTTGATGATTGAATGATTGATTTTATCTCAAGCAAACAACCAAAAAATAAGTTTTCTGAAAATCTGCAAAAACGGTGTTAAGTGTTTTTGCAAATGAACTCTTCATTTCTTCAGGAGAAACACACCAGTGAGGAGCTAGAAAAACGAGTTTGCTGATAAATATTTAATTTCAACTAGACTGAATGGGGGATAGCAACATCGCCTCACAGCTAGAAGATCCAGTCTTTCTGTGTTTGCATGTGCAGCGTGGGTACTCTGGTCCTCCAGTCCAAATCCATCCATCCATCATCTATGCACCGCTTAATCCTCATTAGGGTCGCGGGGGGCTGGAGTCTATCCCAGCTGACTCAGGGTGAAGGCAGGTTCACCTGGACAGGTCACCAGTCTATCACAGGGCTACACTTAGAGACAGACAACCAAGCACACTCACATTCACACCTACGGACAATTTACAATCACCAATTAACCTCAACATGTTTCTGGACTGTGGGAGGAAGCCGGAGAACCCGGAGAGAACCCACGGTGCACGGGGAGAACATGGAGACTCCACGTAGAAAGATCCCGGGTGTCCTCAACGGGATGCGAACCGGCAACCTTCTTGCTTTGAGGCAACGGTTAAACCACCGAGACACCTTGCAGCCCATTCAAAAACATGCTGTCTTTAATTGGTGATTCTATTGTAGGTGAATGTGAGTGTGCTTGTTCGTCTCTCTGGGATAGACTGGCGACCTGTCCCGGGTGTCGGCCTGAGTCAGCTGGGATAGACTCCAGCCCCCCGTGACCCCAGTGAGGATTAAGTGGTGTATAGATACTGGATGGATGGAAGATTAAACAGCCTTGACCTCTCTGTAGCATGTAATCAATAGAGCTGGTGTCCATCTGGTTGAGACATGGATTAGTTTTGGAGCAGAAGACTCTGACAGCTGTCAGTTACACTCGCCTGTTTGCTTTATCACCTGAACAAAGTTACTCATCATGCACGTATACTTACGGTGCAGATAGCTGGTGTGATGTAGCGCCAGCAATATTTCACAAAAGGCCTCGGGCGAAATCCAATCATGTCCTCGATATTATCATAATGACGATCTGCATCTGGAGGAAATAAGCAGTGCTAGTTTTTCCAGCTAATCTCGTGCCTGTTACAGTACTTTATTCCATATTTATCTGGCTTATTTGGCTTGTATGTACATTTTAGGACCTTAACTAGCACTAAAAATGTTTTAAATTATGTTCATATTAATCATCTGTTGGTTTAAAATGGATTTCAATGGTCGTGGCAGATTTTACCAAGTTAAAGCTGCACCTTACCATAAACCCATCCAATACAGACAGACTGGAAGATAGCAAACAGCAGGAGAGTCATCCCACTGGAGGCGTAGTAGTCAAACAGCTGGAAAACGTAAAGGCCTCCCTGCAAACATGGAGAAACAGAATCCATCACTGACATTCAACCACACGTTGCACCATCAACACATTGTGTTGTTCCACTGTGGTATTCTAAGAGTAAAGTCCATATACAGTCAAATGTATTCATCCCCTTCCATTAATGGAAAGGCTAAACTTACAATAGTCATTCAAATAACTAGAAACTGAAAAAAGTAATAATAAATAAAAATTTGCTAAATTATGATTTCGTAAAATAAGATGTTGCTTTTGAATTGTGGTTGAAAAGAATAATTTTAAAAAATAAAACTCTCCCGGACAAATTAGAGCACTTTGCTGATGAGCAGTGGGTCAGAATACCTGTCAACAGGTGCAGAAGTCTGACTGAGAGCTACAGAAAACACCTGATGGCAGTGATTGGCTCAAAGGGTTGTTCAACAGAATATTAGTTTACGGCTTCTTTTCATGTTGTTGTTGTTTTTTAATAAAATCACATTTAACTTCACATTTTTCCTTTAAGTAAAGACTTAATTGAACATGCAGATCAACATCTCAAACCACTTACTTCTGTCACCATGAAAAGGCCAATGAGGAAACTGACAACACTGATGGCTAGAAGGAGGAGTTTACGACGACAGCTGCTGTGAAAGAAGGAAGGGTACATGTCGGAGATGGTTGTGACCATCGTCTCCTGATGCACAAACTGTGGTAATGACAGAGATTAGTTTGTATTATTAGAAATGACTAATGGTCGTATCAATTCAGAATCTAAGCATTACATGACAAATAGACTTGATCGTTGTCCTACCTCACTGTCTAACCCGAGGAAGATGAGCATAATGAAGAAGAAAATGGCCCAGAGCTGAGGAAGTGGCATCAAAGCCACAGCACGAGGATATGCAATAAAGGCCAGCCCTGGGCCTGCAGAGGTACATGAGGAAAAAGGTCATGTAACAGCAGCGTCACTCTGATTTCCTGTTGAGCACACATCATCAACCTCCCGTACCTGATTCAGCCACCATGGATATATCCACACCTTGCTCCTTGGCCATGAAGCCCAGCACGGAGAAGATGGCGAAGCCGGCTACCAAGCTGGTTAGACTGTTTAACAGGCACAGGTAGCCACAGTCTCTGCAGGTGAAACATTCAAACATTAGGAGACATGCTAACCACAGAGACTACGATTCAAAAAACTGTAAAAAATGGTGACAATAATGGTAAATAAAAAAATGATATTTTAAGTAGATTTAAAGACAGTTAAACAGTATAATTTTTACAGTGACAAATTGTAAAAGAACAAATTGTTATTTATATAAATATCGAATTTTGATAATTTGAGAATTTTTTTTACAGTCAACATGTAAAACAATTCTTCGTTTCTTCATTTTACATGATATTATTATTAATAAAATGGGGAAAACATATCAAATAACAGTTTAAAAAATGTATTTACCATTTTTCATCCTATAATATACACAATTTTCTTTCAAATAATGAGAAATAATTGTAACATAATATTTTTTGCTGATTTTAATACCGTTAAAAAAATGTAATTTTACAGGCAAACATAAACAGAATACAGATTTTTCTATGTGAACATTTATTAGTTTATTAGTTTTGGTCTGTTTTATTTTTTAGTGTTCCAGTTTTTTTTCTGTGATTTTACTCTTTATCTTCAATTTAACAAAGCAGGTAAAATTTGTTAAAAAAAAAATAAAAAATTTAAAACGTAAAATATTCTATAGTAAAATGAATAAAATTGTTTCAAGAAATCACTATAAAAAACTTTTTTACAGTGTATCTCTAAGGAGTTTTTTTTTTTTTTTAAAGTTATTTTTTTGGCCTTTGTGCCTTTATTTGATAGGACAGTGGAAGAGAGACAGGAAAGTGGGGAGAAGAGTAGGGGGAGGACATGTGCGGGAAAGGGTCATGAGCGGGACTCGAACCCATGACCTCCGCATCGGGACTGTAGCCCTGTACATGGGACGCCAGCTCTACCAGGTGAGCTATAGCGGCGCCCCATCTCTAAGGAGTTTTAACATATTTTATGAGAGTTACAGCCAGTAAAGACCTAAAAATACAAACCTGTAGCAGTTGTTGTTGTACTTGTTGTAACTTCCTAATGACGTCAGAATACCTGTGCAAACTCCGTACGAGTAAAAAATTTGGCCGCCGGCATCCATCCACACCTGAGGGATTTGAATGAGGTTCAAGTTTATTTTATTTTATCGTCAAGGTATGTTCATAAATATGGATCCATCCATCCATCATCTATACACCGCTTAATCCTCACTCGGGTCATGGGGGGCTGGAGTCTATCCCTCAGGGTGAAGGCAGGTTCACCTGGACAGGTAACCAGTCTATCACAGGGTTACACTTAGAGACAGACAACCAAGCACACTCACATTCACACCTACGGACAATTTAGAATCACCAATTAACCTCAACATGTTTCTGGACGAACCCAGAGAGAACCCACGCTGCACGGAGAGAACATGGAGACTCCACGCAGAAAGATCCTCACCGGGACGCGAACCAGCGACCTTCTCGCTGCGAGGCGAGCCAACCATCAAGCTACCTTGCAGCCCCCATATGAATTACCTCTGGATCGGCGAGGCGAGACAGGTCCGGGTAGACGTAGAACACAATCCCGTCTTTGGCCCCCGGTAACGTAAGACCACGAACAAGCAGCACCACCAGCATCACGTACGGAAATGTGGCCGTGAAGTACACCACCTAACGCACAACCAAAAATGAAATACTTCATATGATGAGAGAAGAGTTGAAATTAAATCAGCGGTAGCAGTTTTCCATTGGGTTTGTTTTGTACCTTCCCAGTGGACTTCACTCCATTCCAGACACAGAAGTAACACAACACCCAGGCCAGAAGCAGACATAGGGCCAGGTCCCAGCGGATGTTGCCGATCTGATCGATTCCCTCAGACAGGCCTAATATTCTCCTCCTTTAACAGAAAATAATGAATAACATACAGCAGAAACAGCAGCCTTCACACGATGCTTTCATTCATGACACTTACTCCCAAAACTCTACAACTGAAGATGTGGTGTTCCCATACAGGAGCTGAGGGGATGTTTGATTGGGACCATGCTCAAAACAGCCATCTGGCATGAAATAATCACAGGGATGTGAATGAGAAGTGATTAAAGCCAGTGTAAAGGTGCTGGACAGTGAAGTGCTGCTACCTGTGTTCCAGCTGTTGTCACAGCTCGTCCATGGAAGCTCAGTCCTGAAGGATGAAAACAGGTAGAGAAAAGTCCAAGCCAGTATGACGATGTAATACACGCCAGTGTACAAAACAACCACCTGACTTCCGTAGCCTAAGCCTGCAGAGAGATAGTTCTGTCACGCTGCAACCATGATGATAAAATTATCGTTTAGAGACATCTGACACTGAGATAAAGTGTTCCCGAATGGACAACTACCTAAACGGACCTTCACAGTTAGACTGATTCAAGATCAAGTACAAAATCACCTGTAAGTTAAAACCATTTTATTCCACTTTCTCTTTCTGCTTCTTCACATTTCAAAGAGGAATACTGCACTTTTTAGTCCACTTTATTGTAAGCTTTTAGCTGCTTTTCAGTTTAAGAGTTAAAAACATATAAGCTTAGAAAATACTGGCAGAGATCAAACCAGTGGTTAGTGACCTCCTACAGCAGGGGTCTCCAATCCTGGTCCTCGAGGGTCGCATCAGGGTCGCTATCAGGCTTCTGCAGAGCTTGATGATGAGCTGATCATTTGAATCAGGTGTGCTGGAAGAGGGAAACATCTAAAACATGCAGGACTGTGGCCCTCCAGGACCAGGATTGGACACCCCAGTCCTACAGAGTGGCCAAAAGTAGACACTGCTTGAGCGATTTCATTTAAATGACTGTTTAAGATCCAAACAGGTGAGAGTTCCTAATGTTACATGAACGGTTACAGTTAGAAACCTACCTTCAAACAGAGGGCAGATTTTCCTCCAGCATGTTATTCCGCCCTGACTGGTGAACTGGCCCAAAGACGTCTCCAGTAAGAAGAGCGGGATGCCACAGGTGAACGAAAACAAAATATAAGGAATCAAAAATGCTCCTACCAAAAAAAAAATACAGAAATAAATACAAAGTTTTAGAAACATGTGCACACAGTGTTTTACCCTCTTCATGAGTCATTGGGGTTTGTTTTTTTTGCTCTTCTCATTTTACCAACAGTTGGAAGGTTGTTTTTTTCCCATCAATGCGTGTTAAAGAATGCGGCCCAACAAGCCAACAGGGAAGTGATTTAAGTCTTAATCCTTGGCAAGAATGGCTCAAACACGGTCTTTCAGACATCAGCAACAAAAGACATTACCTCCTCCATTTTTGTAGCAGAGGTACGGAAACCTCCAGACGGTTCCCAGGCCGATGATGTGTCCAGCCACCGCCAGGACGAACTCCAGCTTGTTGGACCACTGCTCCCTCTCCGGAGGTTTGGCCTGAGTGTGTCCCGGGTTGTTCCCGGAGTTCAACAGAGTTATTTTCGGTTGGGAGTTCTGTTGTTGGTCCATTTCCACATTTAGTAGGCTGGGGATTAATATGTCAGCATATAATGTAGCAGAAGGCATGTTGTTAAGCTTTGTTAAATGCAGGACAAATACATGTTCACTACATGTACAGACTGTGGTTATTTAAATAAAGAATTCATCACTTAAGCAGGTTTCTTTCAATATACTCAGGTTTCACCCAAGAGGGATTATTCTCCAACATGTTAGACCTGCAGAGGGTCAAACATAAACCCTACATGCAGCATTAAAAATGTCTGAGTTTTAATGCTGCACGTAGGGTTTATGTTTGACCCTCTGCAGGTCTAATTATTAATATATATAATTATTTTCTAAACAAGAGTTCACTGCAATGTAAAAGGTTACAAGTGTTTTATCACAGCAGTGCTCTGAGCTAAATGCTAACTTAGACAAGCTAACACACTCATAATGATGTTAAATAAGTGTTTCCCATTGCTTTGCATGTTAGCATGATGCTGTACTTTCTCCTTGGCATTTACAGATTTCTTGTAAAATTCACAACAATATGTCTTGCATGAATGAACATTAAAATGAGTGCTAGAATGCATTCACAGATGTATTATCATTTTACAATCATTTCCTTTTTATTTAACTCATGTCAAGTTTAATTTGTACTCTCTAAACTACATACAATTACCAGAAAACGCAGTATTGGCATCTCGACCTGAATGACTAAACTGCAGAACAATTTGAAGCAAACGTTGCATAAGTTTCCGACACACGAGCCACTGAACCGACTTAAAGCTGACAAAGTCCGACTCCCTCCCGGCAGCATGATGCACTGTACGTCTGCTGGGTGTTGTTCTAATAAATGCTGTCCATCTTTTAAACCAAACACTACCTGGTGATATTCAAGCACCTGAACCTTTTTTACCAAGAGAAGTATTTTATCTTCAAATTCTAATTATCATTATTATCACTTGAAGTAAATAAAGCAACATGCGTAGATAAACCTGCACCAGATGGTTGGGATCAAATTCATTTCCTGCTGAAAATGAAACAATAAATGAAATGAAATGACCACACAAGGTCAAATATTTGCATTATATTTGCCTCACATTTCTTATATATAGCTGCAGTATAAATAATATAATAACTCCAATAACCAGTTCACTTATTCACACCTTACCTTGAACAGCGCAGGTGTCTCCTCTGAAATAAACCTGCCAGCCTCTCCCCAAGAATACGTCGAGTGAAGTGGGTTTCTGTGAGGAGTGGCCAGAGACACCAACACAACCAGTCCTTTCTTTAGAACCAATAGAATCCAGTGGCACACATACAAGCCCACATTTCATACTTCTGAAGGAATTACATTCGCTGCACCTGCCCAACCTTTTCCCTAACCTTAAAACCAGTTTTCTTTTTGCGTCCTTATGGAGGCAGGTCACCGTAATGTCGCTGTTTAAACACACCGAGGTCCCAACAGCGTGGCTAATGTCCAACCACACACACACACACACACACACACACACACACATTTTCAGTTTCTGTTTAGTCTGTCATGATGAAGCAGCTCACCACTTGGGGGGGCTCTTCTATATCAGGCTCACATGCAGCCTATTTGTCTCCCTCTTGTTTTGTGAAATACATATAAACCGCCCTTCAGTTTAATTATGTAGATGCTAGATGAGCTTAAAAAAAAATGGGTTGAATTGCTGTTGAGACCGTGCTACTACATCCATTAGTGGTTTCAGATAAATGTATGTGTGTGAAGGCTATCCTAGGCAGGCTTTTCCCTTCTTTCTTTCATATCACACTGAGGAACAAAAGCACCCAATCAGAGCACAGATTTCTCTGTCAGAAAATTAAAGCTAAAGCTAATTCTTTTTGCATATTGTGTCATTAAATATTTATTCTAAATTTTATCGAAAGCACTGTGTCACGGAAAATGTCTTTTACGGGAGTGTATCCGGTGTGTTTTAATTCACTTCTATACATTAATTACATGCATTTATTAGTAGTAGTTCTTAGTGTTTCCATATGGAGACACACTCACGTAGCCAGATTTAGCCTTTCTATCTTCTCATCAGTCGACTAAAATGAAGACAGTCACAAGAAAATATGAATTCATAGGAAGTGTTAGATTACTATTGTGTGCCACAAATGAGCAAAACATCAACACAAAGTCCTCATATGAGGTACGGTGCTGTAAATAATCCAGTAAACATCTACACAGCGCCCACATGAGTTGGCAGGGCAGGTAGATTTTTTTACCCAACAGCTGCATCTGAAAACAACTGAGAACAAAACGTCATCATGAAAACAACGAGCTGAAACCGAAACTCACTTTTCTATGAGCTGACCCCTTTTCACATTGCCGTATTGTTTCAGCATTGTCACTGTAGGAGAGTAAAAACAAGTGTATATCATTTAAACTTTTTGTCCACAAATGTTTAGTGCAGAAATGCATATATACACAGTATATATATATATATATATATATATATATATATATATATATACACTCCCCAATATGCTAACATGTAATGCTAGTACACAATCAGAGGATTGACACTAGAGTGTGCTACACTGTGGGAGTAAAAAAAAAAAAAAATTGTCTTAAACCTTTTTGAACTGTACTTTAAAAAAATAATGATAATAATAATAAAAAAAACGATTTACTGTTGTTTTGCAGATTTCCCAGCTTTGTTTAATTACAGATGTCTAGTAAAATCACAGCAAAGTATTAATTGACATGCTCCCTTTTTATAAACAGGTATAAGCTGTAAATAATATCCACATCAAAAATCTATGTTTTTGTAAATGGTCATTCATTCTTTTGCACACTAAACAAACATGTTTTTACTATATTTAAATCAGCAAAAATCCTTGCCTTGCAGATATTTGTCATTATTTGAAAGGGGGGAAAACATGTCAAGCATTAAAATATGCTAAACAATTTTTACAACTGTAATTTTACAGATTTTTTTTTAGTTAAATTGCAGATAGCAGGGACGTGCTCAGAGCATGGCTCAGGTTGCCCGGGCAACTCACGGGGAAAATGGAATTAATAAAAAAAAAAAATAATGTGAACTGATGCTCAGAAGTATTGCCCTGACCTGACCGCAGATATCAACTTAAGCAAAACCGCCGAAATTTAAAAAAAAAAAAAAAAAAAAAAAAAGTTGAATACTGGAGTTGGGAGTAAATTGTGACCGTGCTCTGGCAGGTCCTCAATAGATTCAAGTTTACTGCTGTTTGCGACACAGACGTCCCTTGTGCGTACATGTGTCCAAGGGAGACATACATGTGTAGAAGATCTGCTTTCGTGAAAGAAGGTGAGTTTAAAGTTGTTTTAATTAACCACGCAGGCACGCATTGTCTTTCATTAATCGCCAAATGATGGTCAGGTTTGAATCCAGATATTTGCATCTTGACGTGACACACATAGGCGGTATAGCTTTTAAAGGAAAAATAACACTATTGCTTATTTTGATCATTGTTGTAACTTGTAATAGCCTGCATTTGCACAAAATAATGGTGAATTAAGAAAACTTTTTTTTTTAACCGAAATAAACTATCTTTTATTGTTGTCGTGGCCTGGGTGTTAAATGTAGAATCATGGCCGTAGGGGACGCGGGGTACACGGGGGACATGTCCCCCGCACTTCCCCTATCTGTGCCCTCCGTCCCCCGCACTTTTTTTTGTTTTTACAGCCATTACAACCACTTAATTCATTTTTAACATGTGGAGGCACGTTTTTCCGAGCCGCCTTTAAACGCATCATTGGTAGACGGCGCGAAACGGCGGCGCAAACAAACACAGCGGCAGTGTTATGGTGAGACTGACGTTTAGCTTTAAACATGTCCGCTAAACAAACCAGAAGCAGAAAACTCTGGACAGTTTTTTCCCAACAAACCGTGTAAGTTGAGTAGTGCTGTTACATGGTGATAATGTTTAGCTAATATAAAGATATTTTATATGGGATATAATTGCCTAGGACTTTGGCTAAAAGACTTTGAAGAGGACTTTGTCATCCTAAGTTAGCTAGGTTAACTCGCTAGCTTAGCTAACTAAATGTCAATTTAGTTAGCTAAGCTAGCTGATTATAAACCCACTCCTCCTTCATTTCTGTACAGAACATGTCCTCTGGTGCTGATCATTTTAAACAGGAATGGTGCCCTTTTTTCAGGTTTGAGCAACTGCCCCTAAAAAATCCTGAGCACGTCCCTGTTAATAAGTCATATCTGTTGCTGATTTCCACACTTGTCCTGTCAGTCAATCCACTAAAATGATTTGGGGACATTTTTTTTTCTCTCTGGATTTGAAGCTTTTTAACTGTAGCGTAGCGGCACACATATTTTCCAGTCTATTTGCTTCACTCCCACTTCAAATCCAAGCAACAGCAACACAAAAGCAACATTGATAAAACGAGTCACCCTCGTGCCAAGCGGCAGCGACCCTCTGTTGACCTAATGCAGCAAGACTACTGGCATTGTGTGGATAATGGATATTAATATACAGTAAAATAATCATCTCATTATTCCTGCTGTGTGTTGCTTTTTTTTTTTTTTTTCTGCACGCCTGATTCTGCTGGTGACCCAGCCCTCTGGTTTTGAAGCCAAGCCCATGCAGAAGGGCAACTCCTGCTGCAGGAGAAGGAGCTTCAATGTACCACAAATGCCTGCCTCTACTGCTACAAAAATGTCCACTTCATCACCACCTGCCCCATCTGACCAGCAAAAGGACCAGCTCACTCGTAGCTGGGGGGATATTGGTAAGCCACACTTCCATGACGACCCAACTACTACAAGTCCCTGCATCTCTCTGCTGGGAGACCCAGTCCCTGCCAGTTACAGCCCTCATTGATTGCAGAGCTGAGGAAAACTTCGTGGACAGTCAACTAGCCTGGGATGGATACACATGATAGTCATTAGTTTTAACTGGACAGCACTGGGGTTTATGATTCTCTCCAAGGAGCCCACGAAGCAAGGTGCAAGTTTCCAGGATTCAACTCGCAGAGGAAGTGGTTCTAGGCTAAAGTT